GTTTTTTTTTTTGTTTTTTGTTTTGCATTGGAGTCTCACTCCTTTGCCCAGACTGGGGTGCAGTGGCACGCACGCTCATGGCCACCCAGCGTCGACCTTCTGGGCTCCAGCGATCCTTCCAACTCAGCCTTCCAAGTAGCTGGAACTACAGGGGCACAATACCACACCCGGCTATTTTTTATTTTATTGTAGAGACGAGGTCATGCCAAGTTGCCCGGGCGGGTCTTGAACACGTGGGCTCAGGCAATCCACTCGCCTTGGCCTCCCAAAGTGCTGGGATGACAGCCACCGAGCCTGGCCTCTAGTAAGAGTTTTAAAAAGCATTCAACTTCACGCCTCTTGGCCCTAGCACCCAGAGGCTGGCCTTCACAACATCCTTTGAGATGATGAAATTCAAACCCATCCGGCAATTTGCTGTAGAAATTAGCTAAGAATAGTGTCATCGACTAAGGAACTTGCAAACTCAGCCACTCAGTCAAAGCAAGGAGCAAGGAGCCCTGGGGAAAACCATGTAAGGACGAGAGGGAGTGTTTGGAAACTGAGACAGAACCCAGGTTGTGCAAGCTACATGGGGGTCCCACCGGGTTTCCGGCTGGTGGGGCTACACCTGCACCCACACGGACAGCTGGGGAGCCCACCTGACATCCCACCGCCCTCAGTAGCTTAGCATCCTTTCCCAGGAGGCTCACTTACCTGCTTGCCGGGTGGGGCCGCTGTCTGTGCTTCCACCAAAGCCCGACTTGTCACAGAAGGGAGGTGCCCAGTGGGCCTCACAGTGGCAGTTCTTCCTGTTGTTACACACCTTTGAAGGCACAGAGGGGTGGGATGTGGTGTCAGGGCATGCCGTCTGGGTAGCACCAGAGCAGAAGCAAAAGTACCGTGGCCAGGGCACCCCCAGCACCGACACAGCCAGACTCAGGACATGTCTCTGTGCAGACGAGCCCCAAACATGGCACCACGCAGGTGAGACCAGAATCTGAGGCTGCGGATGTAACGTCGTCTGCTTGCTGGCAGAAAGACAGCTATGGTTAAGGCCCAATGGCTCACGTCTCCCCCTTTCTCTTCTCAATCTCCCTGCCTTCCTTTTTAAGTCCAGGAAACTTGTTGTCTGACCTTGAGGAGAAGTCTCTTTGGCATCAAGAAGAGACCCTGCTTAGAGGCATAGACCCAGAGCCTTGGGACATTGCAAGACCTGACAACCACTTGGTACATCCCTGCCCACTTCAGACATGAGGCTCAGAGAGGCTGGTGACTAGAGGGTGCCCTTGCAGGCTTGGGTGGCAGGGCAGGGCGACAGCCAGGCCTATTTCCTGATGCCCATGAAGGTGCATGAGATTTCCGCTAACACTTCCTCAAAGTCTGCTCCAATATCTTGTTTCTGAAATGGCCACTTCCTGCCTGTGGAGTTCTCCGTGGGCTGTTCCTGGCTCCCAATCACGCACAGCAGACAAAGCCAACGACGGTTCTGGCATGGCAAGATTGGGACGCAAGAAAGCCCGAGGAGGGTAAGCTATGTCCTCACTGGGCCCCAAACAAGTAACCTAACTCAGAGACCAGAGCACTCCACAAAGGAGCTGAGGTGGCCTCCTGGCCCACCTGGCCCTGACCTGTCTCTACTGGTTCACTTGTCTTTGTGATGCAATTTACTCAACAAGTACATGAACCAATGGAATGTGAACATGAAGGTAAGAGGATAATTCTTCTTTTTCTTTTATTTTTTTTTAAGAAAGAGGGTCTCACTCTGCTGCCCAGGCTGGGATATAGTAGCATGATCATAGCTCACTGCAGCTTTGAACTCCTGGGCTCAAGGGATCCTCCTACCTCACCCTCCCAAGTAGCTGGGGCTACAGGTACACACCACCACACCTGGCTAGTGGTTTTTTTTTTTTTTTTTTTTGCAGAGATAGTGTCTTGCTGTGTTGCCCAGGCTAGTCTTGAACTCCTGGTCTTGGAGTTCAAGCAATCCTCCTGCCTTGACCTCCCTAAGTGCTAGGGTTACAGGCATGAGTCACTATGCCCAGTCAAGAGGGCATCATTTTTTCCTATGAAAATTAAGTTGAATCCTTTGGGAACACCGGATAAAAAAAGGCAGATCACTAAAAAGAGTTTCTGAGAAATTAGGAATGAGTGGAACTGGAAAATGGAGGAGTCTCTACTTGGATTGCTGCTGAGTGTCTAAGCTTCCTTTCCACTTAAAGAAACAGTCAATGATACATTTTTGGATGCTTTACACAGGGAAGTCAATGCAGAACTATAGTCAGTAAAGCGACCCTAAGGCCCTGCATCAAAATATTGGTGCCAGATACATACTTGAATATTTTAGGGCCAGATAAGAAGTTTGGAGTATACATCTCATGGGTGATGGTTCCCTGCTGCAAATGATTTGTTTTGATGAGTCAACCACCCGCCCCCATTGCTTCAAATGAGAAGACAAGCTGGAAAGTATATTGCTATGAAGCAAGAACTGAGCAGAATTAATCAGCATGCAGCAGAGCCTGTCCCCTCAAAGACGCTGCTGCGGACCTGCTGGTCCCTTGGTTTGCACCTTCCCTGGGCGGTCTGTCACTGTAGCACGTGGCCATGTTTCCTTTCTGCAGGTCACAGCAGAGAAATGGCAGCATTCACCGCCTGCATGGAGGTACAGCTGGTGGACCTGCTCTCAATGGGGGGAGAGGGGAGACTACGGCCAAGCTACTTGTCACCAAGTCACGGCCAGCTGCCTCTGCTACCCAGCAAATTTCCTCTCCCAGGTGTGGAGGAGGCCCCAAGGATACTGGAAAGACAGGCATCCAGGGTCCTAGCCCCGCCTGCTGCCGGCCTGGCCTGCTACATTCAGTGAAATAACAGGGCTGGGCCCCATCACCTCTTAACAGCCATTAGAAAGAAATCTGTGAGTCAATGAAGACTTAAAAAGATTCTGTTTTCTATTAGGAGGCAACACACAGTCAACACACCCATCTGCAGTCCTTTACGGTTACGCTGCAACGGTCACTTTACCAAAATCCCCACAATTCTGTGTAAGTCATCGGCAAGGATCTGCAAGTTTTAAAAACAGAATTTGGAGCATGATTTCTGTAGAAAAGGTTTCAGAAAAATGACGGAATCACTCACATTACTAATCAAGATTAATATGATTCCACTGGAATTAATTAAGCCCATCAGGAAAAATAAATTATGTTAACTCTAAACAACTAGAGTCCTCTTCTCCCCTAAAGGTTCTCTGAACTAAAATAACAGCCTTCTTTAGTCGAAACCCATTGTGTGTGATTTCAAGGACACGTGCTTAGTATGATCTGTCGTCTCTGTTTTAATCCCTTTTGGAAGTATTTCAGTTCAGACACATATTCTGAGTATTGGTAGCAAGAGAAACAGTGCTGTTTGAAATGCTAATGTGAAGTTCTTCACGAAGAAAGATTAGTTTTCAAATTACTTAGAAGACAACAAAAATGGTTTTTTAAAATTACAGCGTGTAGCTGAAAGGTAATTATTGTTTCATCTGATGTTCTTCGTTAAACAAAAATCACGTTTCTAATATTATATTTAAATGTCAAGGAAAATGAATGTTTTTGGAAGCAAATATTGAGCAGATACTAACCGCTGTATTTTTTAAAACGCTATGGGATGCGAAAACCTTTACAGCTGAACCATTTTATTGCTTAATATGTAACAGGCTGGCTATGAAAAGGCAGTGCAGCCTACTCACACCTCTGCCGTGGCATCGCATTGTACATTCGTGAACACCAAAGACACTGACATTTTGACATCGACGACTGAGGCAGATCTGTGGGAGGAAGAAAACATGGCAACTATCTTAGTATTCCTTCACCCCCACCCCAGTGTGTGTATTAAGAGAAAGCAAAGACAAGTGTGGAGAAGATGCCATTTTCTTTCAGTCCCTACGAACGCAGCATAAGGATGCATTTTTCATTTGGATGAAAAAATCCAACATGTGGGCCAACTCCAAACTCAGCCTTTGTCAAGACTAAGGTCAATGTGAAGACTCTGAAATTTGTTTGCACCCTATGGCACTTTATAGGGTTTCAGTTGACCCTGAAATTATGATAACAAATTTTCTTATGATTTTTGTTTAGAGTGTGTAATGAAACCTATGTATGGCACCATTTTGCCCCCTCCATTTAAAGAGGAGGCTGAAATGGATTAGTCTTTACTCAAGGACCTTTAGAGACCAACGGACTCCAGGAATCTGGGGGCTGAGACTCTTTTAAGGGAGGTATTGAAATATGGCAACTTTAAAAAAATACTGACTGACACGTGATATCATCAGTGACATAAACCATCAGCCGAAGTGCTCAGCGGAGGAAGACAGAAGCTCCCTGGGATTTATCAAGCTGCTGCAGTGGCAGGAATTTGCTAAATGATACTAGGCTGGTTGAAAGGGTTCAGTCTCATTTCAAAGGTGCATAATATACTCCAGACTCAAGGGATCAGGCCTTTTATCTCCCATAAGACGTTACAAACGAGCAGAGTCAAAGGAAGAAGAGTCTAATGTTTAGATCGCAGAAGCATTTTTGATGAAGTTGAACCTCCCTATGAGGAAAGTCACCCTTTGACCCCAACAGCTCGTATCAGGACAGAGGAACAGACTTTAAAAAAAGTGTTGGTCCAAGTAGCTCTGAGGGGTGGGACGGAAACCTGGCCAAGGGGACAGTCACATTCAAGCTGATACGAGAAACCGTCTGGGATTACAATGAATACAACAGGACTCCTGCGTAAATCACAGTACTTTTAGGTGCGGCTCTGCTCCCAAGTTCTCAGAGCACCGGTGTTCTGTGGAAGCAGAGATCAAAGCACATTTCATCTTGCATGTGGAGGAAAACACCTAATGATTAATTGAGTCCTTGGAACTTCCATGTTCAGATGCACCTGGCCCTGGTTGTTTAGGTTACTGTTTAAAAAATGAGTGTCTTTCTAATGTCAAGGTCTGACTACAAGCTAACACGGTTAAGGAGACATCCAGAATATATAAGTTGTTTCTTGTACTGTCCTATTTCCTCAAGGAAAATGCATTTGTGGCTCAGAGTATGAGGGTGAGTGAATTTCTGTCCTCGGGATTCGGACTCTGTCTTTTCTTTCTTCTCTGTGACTTCATGTTAGTAATTTTTTTTTTTTTTTGAGTTGGAGTCTCACTCTGTCGCCCAGACTGGAGTGCAGTGGCCGCTTCCGGCCACCGCAGCCTCGACCTTCTGGGCTCCGGCGATCCTTCCGCCTCAGCCTTCTGAGTAGCCGGAATTACAGGCATGTGCTACCACGCCCGGCTGATTTTTTGATTTGTTGTAGAGTTGAGGTCTCGATGCCC